TTATCAAACATTTCTTTTGGAATGAAACCAAACTCATGAATGTCAATGCATTCTGATTTGCTAATCGACAATAATTATAGCTAAGAACAAAACTTACAATAGAAAAAATAGATATATACAATTGAGACATAATATGGTAAAACAATTGCTAAAGAATAGAAAAATGTCCATTAATTATGTGAAGTTAAAAGAAAATTTATCAAATTATTTAATAAAATCCCTAGGGAGGAAATCAATATTTGAAACAGTGAGAAGAGTAGGATTTAAACCATTTAAAAACAAACAATTGATAGGAATCTAACCTTTTTATGATTAGAGATTCCATGAGGAGGATTCAAATGAATAAGAAGTCATTGATTAATTTTATTAGTACTAAAATTAATTTTAATTTTAACCTCTTTCTATAATATGAAAAAGTGCAAAATACTTCATTAATAATAGGTTAAGTTTTATAACAAAATTTTTAATAAATATGTCTTATAGATGACGTATGATCTATACACCGTAGTTGATGAAATTTCTATATGAATGTCAGGTGGATATACTTGTATGAAATCCTAACAAAATATCTAGAGTTCCCATATGTATCATACACACATGACTTAATAGTGCAAAATAATAAGAAACGGGATAGTATAATGTAATTGATATATACCACTAACGCACCTAAAGTGTTGTTGGGTTTGTATATTTTGTTACACAAATAACGTTATTTCATGTTTTTATTAATCAATGTTTGATTTACGTAATTTGCTAAATGATGTTTGATGCATTACATTTTATGCGAGAACTTAGAATTTTTTTTATTCTTTATTTCTTAAATGTTTAGCCTGTTGAGGTATATAGAAGATTTATGCAATTATAGGGTATCTTAAAAGGCATTTGTCCACATTGCTTGGTTTTACATCTTTTATAATGTTTAAAAATCAACTTATTTTAAAGGATTTCATAGTAAGAGGCAAAGGCCGGAGTACATGACATTGGGCCTTGTAGAACCGATTCAGTGCAAATCCAGAACTTATGTGACAATGGGCTTCAAAGAATTTTTATTTTCTAGTTTAATAATTTTTCAAAGTTTAATTTCAGTTTTAAATTTCGAATTTCCTAGATAATGTTTTTTTTATAACCGTTTTCTTGACTTTGTCTCGTAGCTTAAGATGTGATTACTGATTAGTGAAGTCTTATCTTTTATCCCACCATATGAAGGATGGGCTCGCGCACATTAGATTAAGCCTCATGGGCCAGATACAATGCAAAATCCAGCAATTCGTCCTGCTGCTGCTGCCCATGCAATAATGGGCTTCAAAGAAACTTGTTTTACGATTTAATATTTTTTTCCTAAGATATCAATATTGGTTAACACAAATAATAACAACTTGTATTTCTTAATCAATATATTTGGAATTCAATTCTCGATCTTTGATATGAAATAAATTATATTGAAAAAAAAATATCTAAGTGTGCTCACAATTTCCGATGCAAAATAGCCATTGTTTTTTACGGTTGATATTTCATACCAATATCATAATTAAAATAAATCAAAAAAATTATTTTAAATTTTAAATTTTAAATATTTTAGAGAAATTTTTTATGACCTTTTTCCTTTTTTTACTCTTACCCAAATATGCGGTTAATAGTACCTTATCTTTTATCCCACTATAAATTAACATTTTGTAACGTATAGGATTAAGTGATTTTTTTCTTCACTTGCAAAATAAATAAATTTCAATTATTTTCTTAATTTTAATTATCCTTAACATCTTAATTATTATCCAGTGATATAAATTTCTTTGTTTGCAAGAAAACTTTTTGTGCCTCTCGATCTCTCTAAATTCGTAGGTTAGAAAATTTGTCTTACTATAATTCTAATACCTGCTGTCTTGAGAAACTTGCTCATACCACAAATAAATCCTTTATCTGAGGCCTCAACATTATTTGTTCGCGATTTTAGCATCACAATTTACATATACTAGATAAATAAATTAAAAAAACTAATATAACTAGTTGAACGCAATTAAATATGCCTACACATGCATGAGCACAATCACTCTCTCTCACATTTAACAAATACAAACTAAAATTTACTAACTATAATTTTCACGTAAAATACAACAGAAGCAACGTACATTCTCCAACTGTAAGAAACACCCACACAAAAGTTTTCTAATAGGGGAAGCATCTGAGAAGTAACAGGATAATGTAAAATATTTCGAAACAAAATTCTTGATTTCTAGGGATAACCACTCCACACGGTTGACAAATCCGGCTAGCATCACCTAGATTCGTGCGCGAGACAATGTCAATTATAAAAGCATCAAACTGGTTGAGTTATATAATATAATCTTTGCAATCAAAATCCGATAGTACCTGCTCACGTAGTACCACAATTATAATAGAATTTGTATTAAAAATGTTTTTATGTTCCCAATATAATAAGTCAACTTCAGAGAGGCTGAGATGACTCTTTTAATATAAATAAGAATAATTCCATAAACCCCCGTTGCCTTCAGCTGCAGGGAATCGTTCAGCCTAGAGAAAAAAGAAAGAGAAAACCCGGAAACAGAGAAAAAGGAAGGGGTAGGGGATATGAAAAGAATCTATACATCTAGAAAGCTATCAAATGCCAAGAAATGTGTGTTGACCAAACCAATCTCGTGAGTCCCGTGAAGATGAATCCACACCAAATAGAGTTTGATAATGTAATACAACTACCACTACAGTTTAACTCTTCTCAAATGAATAAAAAATAAATTCGCTAAGAATCATGTGCTCCGTAATCTTAAAAAATCATTGCACTAAATTCTACATCAATATTGTTTAATTTAATCACAAGAACATTCAACAATCTGTACTAACAATCTCAGGTAAAACATTGGAAGTCAAACCAAATTATCTGCCAAATGCCATCATTGGATACAAAAAACAATTGCTATGCTATCCACCACAAAACCAAACAAAGCAGAAGCTTGCATTTTGAAAATGCAAGACGCTCATCGTGACTCAAGCAGGTTTTATCAGGTCAAGTTTAACAATTTAGCAACCTCCTTTAACATGTGAAGAAGCACGTATGTAGTATTTTATATGTAAGAAAATCAATGAGAAAAAATTATGGTGCAATTTTATATTAAATCTGACAACAAAATTTTAAGAGCAGCATGCGATGCATAGTGAAAATCACTAAGAATGTCTCACTCTTTCGAACCACTAGGCAGATAACACCTACATAAGATATCTCCTGAATCCTGAGCACATCCTCAATCTTCAGTTAGCATCTCTGAGAAACTTTTAACAATATCAAAATCGATAGAGCATTTACACTAAATTAGAACGGAGAGTAGTCTTTCAAGCTAGGCATGGATTGTATACTCTAATTACTAGCAACTAAAATTAACGCCACGGCATGGGTACAAACCACTCATACGCGCCAATTAATTAATTGCCAAAATAATGTTTGTAGTACTAATATATTCTAGGAAATGATTTTTTGTTGCAATGCTGGAGTAACTTGTGCAAGGATCAATTATTAATAACTCTTCCCTTACTCCGAAACAAAACATTTTATTAGTAGATAAAAGCAATTATATTACATGGATGAAGTTCTTTATGCTACATGCCAACCACTATCCAAATAGTTAAATATGTATAAAGCAGTACTGATCACATGATGTAGGGTCCTTACCCAATTTGCCCAACATATCTTGTAAAGAATTTAGCTAAATAGAGAAAATGCTTCTGACTAAACCATCAATCCCCTCCCATTTCAAGTAGCTACATCATCTTGAGTAAACAATCAATCAAATGTTACTTAAGTCAGAATCCTAACAGTAACATAAAAGCCAAATTTATATATGTACCCGTCAAAGCAAAATTCGTTTCAAAGAAAGAAGAGTGATAGAGAATTGAAATAAAATGACAACCAGTGTATAGAACCATCTCAACTTAAATCACAAGTTTGAAGTACTTTTACAATCAGTGTATTTGAGGGCTAAAAATGTTTTCCTGCAACCTTTTATGTTCCGAAACAAATGATGTTATTTATTTTATTAATATACGTATGTAATGCTGGCATTTTCAATTTTAGTATTTTGGTCAATAGTTTCACTGATAAACTGAACATTTATTTGCATACATCATGATATATTAAAAATGGCTTTTTCCAAATTTTTGACCAACATTGCTATTTGTTCTTGAACAGGCAACATTTAAACTTTGGCATCTTATAAATATTAAGAATAGAGTAATAACAAAATGGGATGGTTTTCTAAATTTCAATCATTAGGAATTTATTTCATAGATGCTTATATGCAAGAACAATTCAAGGTCCAGATGTTGAAATATTTGCATAACATAATATTAATGATGGATATAATAAACTAAATGCTCAAACTGTACATTTGGGTAACAATTCAAGAGAACAAGAGGTTTCACTTGCATCGATATTGTGGGAATAACTGGTTGCTGTCTTGCTGAACAGATTTTTAAGGTGAAAAGTGAAAACAAACAGACTTACAAGTTGATATCCTCCAGGTTAAAGCATTCATGACAAGGAAAATAATTCTGATCTCCTATTAACCTAAACACAATAACAGCATTGAGCCTTCTGGTCAAAATTAATCATCTGGGACGATTATGGCTTAATGAAGCAAGTTTAGAAGCCATGCCTCATAATTCTTAAATTTTTTTACTACAAATTCGTCAGGTCTTTCTTTTCTTAACTTCTTAAAATGCACATTTAAGTTTGGATTGAGAACAAAATTACATGCATGGAGAAATTTCTTTTTCAAGTGATTGCAATTTTTCTTTGTTTGGTAGCTCAGAAAAGTAGTGAAGATAGACAAATTTAGAAACAGAACATTCAAAATTATATCTATAATTCAAACATTCATTTTCTTCTTTCATCCAAAGGGCAATATAATGAGAAACACTACCTTTTACCTTGGCTATACTTACATTGACACCAAAATTTCAATGCGCAGTGCTTTTTCAATAGAATCACTATCTAAATATAAACGAAAGATATCTGAAAAAACAACTTTGAAGTTACAATCAAGATGTCAAGAGTCGAAACCAGGAGAAATTTTCTAACTATGAAGCACTACAAATCAAAGGATGATCAACTTTCCAATCAGAACAGCTAATCTAACACCAGAGAGCTAGCCCATCCTCATTATTCAATATACAAGATACAAAAGAACCCTATCACATTCAAAACAAAAGAAAAAATTGATCTTTCCATTTTGTACAGAGGACCCACCCAACAAGGCAGAACCAATAAACTAAACATAAAAATAAAAACAACAACTCACCTCCACAGAGGAGACAAACAAATATTTCTTCCCATCAAAACTGATACTTGCCATCATCACCTGACCCGGTTGTGGTTGTTGGTGCCACGCAGAACCCGAACCAAATTACAAGCATTCCTCCTCACTTTCTCGTTATCATCTTCCACGAACCCAATAGAAGCTTCCAGAACCCCTTCTTCCAGAGCCACTAAAACCATTTGCTGGCTATAAAAACAGAGCGAAGTGAGTGCCAACAGCGCATACTGAACCCCCCTGGAGCTTCCATTCCTCAAAACGCGAGCAAGAATATGAACGCAATTCTCATAACCTTCCATTTGCTCTCTCCCTTCCTTGCACTTGGCCAAAACGCCGATAACCTCAACACCGCGTTCAAGCCCAATTTCAACGTTCCTGAACAAAATCGGCACCGCGCCGCAATCCACGGCTCTTCTCCGGTTATCCGGAAAAGAGCAGAGCGCGTACAGCGCGGTGGCGGCCTCCTTCCTCTCCCGGCCCTTGCCGTCGCGGAGGATGGCCACCAGCGCGCCGATCGCCGCGGGGAAGGCGCCGATGGTGGCCTTGTTGACCTCGACGACGGCGAGGCTGGTGACGATGGTGGCGGCCACGGCGCGGGAGTCCGGCGAGGCGGCGGGGCGGCGGAGGACGGCGACGACGCGCGCGACGACGCCCTCCGCGACGAGGCCGACCTTGGAGTCGTCGTCGAGGGAGAGGTTGAGGAGGAGCGGGAGGGCCTTGTCCTGGAGCGCGGGGTGGTCTACGGCGGCGAGGAGCGCGGGGACGGCGGCGGAGTCGGCGAGGCGGCGGCGGAAGGCGGAGTCGCGCTTGGAGAGGCGCGTGAGGTGGCGGAGGGCGTCGATTTTGGAATCGAGTGGGGAAGAGGGCGAGGCGAGGGTTGAAATTAGGGTTTCTGGTTGGGAAATGGTGTGGTGAATGGGAGCGAGGAGGGCGTAGTTGGAGATTAGGCTTCGGAGGGAGTGGTTGGGGATTAGTGAAGGGTGCTCCGGGAGGGGTAGTTTCGTAATTGGACACGTTCTGTGGCCTGCGTCGAGCCAACGTTGGATTGAGGAACGCTCGAAGGTGTGCCCCGAGGACAGTATTACAGGGTCCGACATTATTTCCAGCGAAATTGGACACTTGAAGTGGTCTGGCAGATGAATCGCCATTGAATTGATGCTACTGTGCTCTCACTCTTTACTTGTCAAAGTGTGACCGAGAGAGGGTTTATGGGGTTTTTGCTTTTTACGCCTCTATCTCTATTCTAGTATTCTATATCCCACTTCCGCCATTGCTCCTTTTTAGCTTCTTCGCAGGGAGTTATAATTCTCGGACAACAATACCCTCCCTCCAACGCACTAATCTCCACCATGTCATTTTCCTCATTCTGGATTGTCTTTTTATACTTTTCATTATATACTAGTTTATTCACCTTCTTTTTCTTGCAAATTATTCATACATATTCTTATATGTGAAAACACATATCATAAACCAAATCTTTGGGTCCAAACCATCAAATCCTCAATTACATCCTGTTTAATTCAATTTAATGTTTAATTTTTTATCCTCAATTAATGATAAAAATCAAATTTATATAAGTTATATAAATTGAAACAGATTTTTACCGAATTTAAAAGTTTATGACTGTTAGTGACAACTGCTATATATTAAAAATATAAAATTAATGATTGTGTCAGTCACAAAACTTTTACAACAATTAAAAAAAATTTCTCGCAATTCAAAATCACTTTAAATAATTTGACATAAATTACAATTTAGTATGTCCTTTCCACACAATTGAGTAAAAATAAAATGTGTGCGAGACTTACAACTTTTTTTTTCTTACAACTAAATAACCCACTTTTTTTTTCACTTTTTATATCTATCTTTTTAAATATTTTTTTCACTTTGTAGTGTGTTTATAAATCTATAGTATGATCGGGAGTATAGAATATATCTTATTAAAAAATTCAAATTATTTTAAAAGTAAATATTAAATGAATTTAATTATTTTTTAATATAATAAGGATTTTTAATTGAAAATTTATATTTAAACTTTTAATTAATGTATATTTATGAACACGACTAAATCCTAAACCTTAAACTCTGAACCTTAAAAACTTAAACCCTAAATTATTTTATACTAAGTTTGATTCATAGATTAAAAATAATATAACTTCACATATACATATATATATATATATATATATATATATATATATTTAATTACCAGTACATTGTCACTGGCAACCAATCAGATTTTTTAAATTATTTTATTTTATTTTTATTTCATTAAATAAGTAACTGACATTATATTATTAAAAGATCTGATTGGTTGTCAGTGTAAAAAAATTTTACACTGACAGTGTATATGTGATTAACTTTTATATATATATATATATCAAGTATTACTTTTATCATAATTATAAAATAAAATAAAGTTCTACCTTTAAATATATTAACTAGTAAGTTTTTATATCCTTAATTTACTAAGTCTATTAATGAGTTATCTAATTATTTTACATGAAAGTGAATGTGACATTCTCTATCCCACATGTTAACTTAACTTGTAAATTAATGGATATGGAACAAGATAACAGAAATAATATTACTAAATAAAATTAAGTTCGCAAATCCTATCGAATAAAGGTATCACATAAACAACGAAACCAAAACAATAATTAAAATAAAGGTCTAATAGAATGAATACAAAGTAGAATCTAGCATAAGGTTCTCACATGAAGATCAACTAACAAAAATAATATCCTAACTACTAGATTTAATGTCACATTTTATCATAGCACAACCTAGTATAAGGCCTAAGTCTCATCATCCTCATGATGAACCTCACCTACAAGTATACACCAAGCACCAACAAAAAGAAAAGAAAAGTGAGATACATCTCACTTTGGCTATTAGTGTAATTTATGGTCGGATGGCTGTACACAAAAAATATTATATACACATTTACATATATGGATCAACAGATAAACAATTGCACATTCAACTATAATCTCACAACTCATCATAGGCATTATTTATGATCCACAACCATTCAATACACAACCATCATGTTCACAGCAATGCAATTAACACAAACTTCCTAAACTATATGCATTTCACACAAGATGCAATGCATACTCATATCTCATATTCAACTTAAAATATCACACGATTATAACTAGCTAGACAATCTCACCTAGATCTTAATATTGTAATAATTACAAATGGATAACCAATCTCATCCAAACTTTAATATCGTAAAAATTATAATTTGTAAGACAATCTCGTCCAGACTTTAATATCGTAAAAATTACAATTGGTTAAGAAAACTTGTTTAGACTTAAATATTGCAACAATTACAACTTATTAGGTAATCTCGTCCAAACTTTCATATGACAACAATTACAACTTGTTAGGAAATCTCGCCCAAATTTTCATATTGCAACAATTATAGTTAACTAGGCAATCTCGCTCAAACTTCAGCATCGCAACAATTACAGCTAACTAGGCAATCTCATACAGACTTTAATATTGCAACAATTACAACTGACTAGGCAATCTTACCTAGACTTTAATATAACAACAATTACAACTGGCTAGACAATCTCATCCAAATTTCAACGCAACTAAGCCTCATCTTAGACTTCACATTACGTGACTACCACATGATCCACTTACAAGAACAACACATTGTATCACACAAAAGTCACATGTTTGTAGTTCAAACACAACAATGTTCACAACATCATCCAATAACAACATCATCTCTCTTCCCATGTCTTCTATATCTCATATTCTCTTTTTGTTTTTGTTCATCAATATTTGTTTTAAAATGTAATATTGAAATATCAAAATTGTAAACATGTATTAAAAATATATTTTGATAATTATACCGATTAATAAATATATCATAACTTTGAACATATTCAAATTCAATAACATGAATGAGAAAATATAAAGACAAAAGATTGTATGTAGAGAAATATTACTTACAAGGACATGCATGAAACCATAATCAATTGTTTATTAAAAGATTGAAATGTTATTGATTTTATTTTTTTCATTCAAACTTTGTCATTTATGTTAATTTTTATTAATTGTATTTGTAAAAAAAATCATATTGTCCTTTGAAGTCTAACAAAATCATTTCAAATCTTATAAAATTTTAAGATACAAATCTATTAAAATCCATATTACAAAATCTTGATTAAAAAAGTTTTAAAAAATATCTTAAAAGTCATTACATTTTTACAAAGTCTTTTGAATTTTTTTTAAAAGTGATTAAATTGTTATAAAGTCTTTTAAAGAGTACAAAAAAATTTTGTGCAAAAAAATTCTTATAAAATCGCAATCCAATACACCTCCCTAATTCAATAACATATTTCTCTTTACATTTAATATCACCAATTTAATTTTCTAAAATTATAGATAAATTTTCCTAAAATTGTGAGTATTTTTTTGTTGAAAAAAAATGAAACATTACCTATCAGTTAATTAATTGCTGGTGATTAATTTATTTTACAATAATTTTAATTATATAAATTTTATTGTAATATTTATATAAACTAAAAATAAAATTTTGGTGTCCCTTAAAATATAGTCACTAGAAATCGCCCATCTTGACTATGACCAGGGCCATTACTCTTATTGAGAAGTTTTTCAAAAAAAAAAGTATGTGAATGAAGACATTAAAAAATCTTGAATTAATTTGAAGAGATGATCTTTAATCTTAAAAACAGATCTCACAAAAAATTATCCACGTATGATTATTACATGTGAATCACTGCCCATTTAATAAGTGTTAGACTAGTTTTACAGATGCTAAATGTTGGTTTATTATTTTGTTTTAACTTTAGAGTTTGATAAAATATAGAGAGAAGGGCAATGAAGACTTTCCATGGGACGATGTGCCATCATGTTTTCAACGTTGTGTGGTTCTGTCGGTTACTTTACCGGAAACAAGAGGGAAAGAGAATGGCGTTTCTTTTCAAAGTATGTCCAATTCTCCATTATCTTTTTCAATTCTTGACAACAAAGCATGAGTACTGTAACATGACACGTCACGTAATGCTTCTATGCTTCTTTTTTTATGAATACCAAGACATCAATCAATAAATAATTTATTACGTTTAATATCAATAAATAATGTATAAAATATGCTTTTGCGTGTGTCTGTCGTTTACTGTACCTGAAACAAGAGGGAAAGAGAATGGCGTTTCTTTTCAAAGTATGTCCAATTCTCCATTATCTTTTTCAATTCTTGACAACAAAGCATGAGTACTGTAACATGACACGTCACGTAATGCTTCTATGCTTCTTTTTTTATGAATACCAAGACATCAATCAATAAATAATTTATTACGTTTAATATCAATAAATAATGTATAAAATATGCTTTTGCCCATTTTAAATTTGTCAAATTTAATTTTTGTCTCTTCAAATAATTTATTATATTTTAATTCTTCTAATTTAAAGATGTAGAACTTTATGTATTTTAAATTAGAGAAAATAAAATAATTCAATAAAATTCAAGGGATTATAACTAAATTAAAAAAATTTAGGGAGTAAAAGCATATTTTTCCATAAATAATTTATTACGATAATGAAAAACATGAAATTAAGAAGTTATAAACTTTAACTTCATTCAATGATATTAAAACGAGACAAACGTAAAAAAAAATATTTTATTTTATTTTATTCACGTGTCAACATTAATTAAACTAATTTTATTTTATATGATGTTGAAAGTTTTCTATTGACTACATTTGTTTTACAATATTTTCTTAGTAAATATTCTTTAAACCTTTGAACTTAATTTAGAGAATACACAAGCTTACTTAGATGTTAATGCGATAAGATTAGACTATAATATATATATATATATATAATACTTTGTTATATAAATTTAAATTAATAAATAATATATTATTATTAATATATGTTAATTTAAATTAATGTAATAAATCCCCATATATATATAGAAATAATATTTTTTACTTTTTAAAGAAAATATAAAATTAAAATTATAATTCAACTCTAGACCACTTTTTAGAAGACAATAAATAAATAATTTTTTAACTATAATATTAATACAAAATATCTATTTTAATCTTTATTAGAAACTGAATACATGTAAGATGAGTATTTTTTTCTTAATATAATATATTTCATACTCAAGAATAGAATTTAATTTTTAAATAACTTGATTAAGAAATATAAATAGCTATTATTTGTGTTATAGTGATTAAAAAATAAAATAAACATATATTACTAACATTTGTAAAGTTTTTTTTTTTAAAATTGTAATTTAATCACAAATTATTATAAATAATACGTTTATCTTTTTTAGTAATAATCAC